ACTAACTCTACACAGGCATATGTGGCCTTCTGCACATAACTTCTTTTACTGACATAACACTTCTGAGGACCATCCATGTTATAACATACATCACTATCTTATTTCTTTTTATTGGTGAGTGGGATGCCATTGTAAATATGTATTTCTATTAATCCATTCATAAATTTGTAGACTTAGAATTATTTGTGCCTTCTGGCTACTATGAAGCTACCACTATAAACACTCATATAGTCAATAACAAGGCATCAAATACCTGGAAGTGTGTGTGTCTGTGTATGTATGTGAATGAGAATGTTTATGTTCCTGTGCTTTCCATGGAATGTGTGTGGCAGTCAGAGGATATCCCAGGATTAGTCCTCACCTTCCACCTTGTGCGAAACAAAGTCTCATGACTTCCCCAGTATGCATAGAAGGCTAGCTGGCCCATATGCTCCCAGGGATTGCCCAGTCTCCCATCTCACTGCAGGAGCTCTGCCATTACTGACATGAGCTACATGACTCTCCCTGATTTCTAGAGACCTGAACTCAAGTCTTCATGTTTGTACCAGCAAGCACTTTCCCTACTTGGTCATTTCCCCAGGACCTGGAAATTTCTAGAATAGTAGGCTTCAAGCATTCTTATCACAAACAAATAATTATTTGAGGTGATATCTACATTAATTAGTTTGAACTAGCCACTCCACAATTATCTGTATTTCAAAGCTCCATGATACTGATATACTGTAAGCATATACAACCCTGTCAATTAAAAACTGAGGAAAAGGAAATAAATGAAAATTAGTACTACCTCTTTAAACTTTTGCATTCAATGCTCTTTGTGGGCATAGGTTTTTTGTTTCACTTTAGCTCATCTTGTTTGCATTTAAATAAAATTAACTTTTGTTTATTTTAATGTAGCAATTTTATTGACTATTTGAGATTTTAGACAAGCATATCATGAATTTTGATTATGTTTTACCCCTCTTCCGCTCCCTAACTCTTCCAGATCTACCCTAGCCTCTCAATGTCATATCCTCTTTTTTAAGTACCCCGATGAGTTCAACTTGAGTTCAACTCATGAGTGTTGGGTCATCCACTGGATCATGGTTGACCTGCCAGTCAGAGGCCATACCCTTAAAGAAAACCAACTCTTTCTATGAGGCTAATATCACCAGAATATCAAAATGAAAACACTAAAAGAAAAAAAAAAACACTACACACCAGTATCACCTAGGAACATCATTGTAAAAACTGTCAGCAAACCACTAGCAAGATGAATTCAGCACTGTATTAAAAAGATTACACATTAAATTGGATTTATTCTTAGGATGCAATGACAATGCAACATATGAAAAATCAATCAGTGTAATATAACCTACCAACAAAATAAAGAAGAAAAACACATGGACTCAATTGGTGCATGAAAAGTATTTGACATACTCCAAAGCCCTCCCATTTAAAAGCATCCAGTGACCAAGGAGTAGAGGTAAGCATAGAATGGGTAAGCATAGAATTTGGCATGATGAACACTATATAAAAATTCATACGCAGTGGTCAAAGACTAAGAGCTTCTCTAAGATCAGGAACAAAGCACGGTGCCTGCTCTTACCATTTCAATTTAGGACAGTACTGAGAGCTCTAGCAAAAGCAGTTACATGAAGGGAGAGGAGAATAAGTAGAGACAGAAGATGGGGAGGAAAGGGAGGAAGGGCAAAGGGAAGGAAAGAGAGGGGGTAAGGAAGGAAGAAACTGGAAGGAGAAAGAAAAGTAGGAGGAGAAGAGGAAGAGGCAGCATCCTAACTGAAAAGAAATGTGAACTGACGCTTATCTGAAAACTCAGTCTTCTATGTAGGAGCACTGGATATGCGTGTGCGCGTGAGCATGCGCGCGCACACACACACACACACACACACACAAATAAACTGTTTATAATAACAAATGGAAACTGAGCAGTGGTGGCTCACGCCTTTAATCCCAGCGCTCGGGAGACAGAGGCCAGGCTGGTCTACAGCTAGTTCCAGGACAAGCCCCAAAGCTACAGAGAAACTTTGTTTCGGAAAATAAAAATAAATAAATAAATAAATAAATAAATAAATAAATAAATAAATGGATTCTGTAAAATAGCAGAATATAAATTTAACATGTAAAATAAGTTATATTTCTGTACACTATGAACAACTTCCAAGGAAATTACAAAAACAACCTAATTCACAATAATACAAAAACCTTTTTAACCAAAGATGTGAAGGTTCACACAATGGAAATCATAAAATATTACTGAAAGAAACTGAAGAAGATATGAGTGGACAGAAATGCACTCTGTTGCCATTAGTTAGAAGAATTGCTGCTTTTAGGCTAGAGGACAGCCCAGGGGCACAGGGTGGAGACTACACTGTAGTGAGGAGCGCTAGAGGACAGCCCAGGGGCACAGGGTGGAGACTACACTGTAGTGAGGAGCGCTAGAGGACAGCCCAGGGGCACAGGGTGGAGACTACATTGTAGTGAGGAGCTGCGGGCAGGCCTGCTTTTTGTCCCACCCAGCTCCCACATGGCTAGCTTAGCCCCAGAAATAAGAACACACAAATTGTATTCATTTAAACACTGCCTGGCCCATTATCTCTAGAGAATTAGTTACTGGCTAACTCTCACATCTTGATTAACCCATTTCTAATAATCTGTGTTGCACCATGAGGTAGTGGCTTACCAGGAAAGATTCAGCATGCCTGACCTGGTGACTGGTTCCATGGCATCTGCCTCATTGCCCTCTTCCCAGCATTCTGTTCTGTTTACTCCGCCTACCTAATTTTCTGTCCTATCAAAGGGCCAAGGCAGTCTCTTTATTAACCAATGAAAATGGCACATAGACAGAAGGCCCACCTACATCACTGCATAGTGTATTCCAGGCCCTCAATTCCTCAGCTCCCAGCCCCCCCAGTGCAGTCAAAATCACCATGAAGCTGGGCATGGAGTGCAAGCTTTAATCCCAGCACTTCGGAGGCACAGGCAGGGGCATTGCTGTGAGTTTTAGGTCAGCCTTATCTGCAAAGTGAGACCTTGTTTCAAAATAAAAAAAAAAAAGACTTTTTCATGAACATAAAAACTGACCCTGAAGCTCACATGGACTCTCAAGGGACACTAAATAGTGAGAAAAGAACGAAGCTAATAGCAAAAACAGAATCGAGTCAAAACAAGAGGCCTCACAGTCTCTGATTTCAAACTATATTGCAAAGTAGATCATAGCATGGAAGCAGAATAGGCACTAGCATAAAAATGAACCCATGGCCCAATGTGTCTCTCAGTTAAACTACATTGACAGCGCCTATATTTATGGTCAACTACATTTCACAAGGGCAGTAAGAATACACATGGAAATTGAGCACAATGGTACAAGCCTATAGTCCTTGCACTACAGAGGCTAAGGCAGAATGATTACAAGTTCAAGGACAGCCTAGGCTAACGTGTTTGTGTGTGTGTGTCTGAGAGAGAGAGAGAGAGAGAGAGAGAGAGAGAGAGAATGATTCTATCCCTTTACAGCATTACAGCACTCAGGATTCTTATTTATGTCACAGTGGCTGGGTGGGTATGTGTGTATGCGTGTGATTTTGCTATAAGAAATAGAAGAAAACTGCCATTTTGATATGAATGAACCCAGAAGATATCATGCTAAGTGAAGTAAATCAGACACAAAATGATTTTAAAAAACTGTATGAATCAAAAAAAATAAACAATTCTAACACAGAAACAGCAAACAGAAAGGTAGCTCTAGGGACCAGGAAGGATGGGACTGGGCAAGAATGAGACATTATGTGGCAAAGGGTCCAAGCTTCTGTGTATTAGATATACATGTCCTAAGGGTATAACGTACAGCATGCGGTCTGTAGTTGATAATATTTATTGTGTGATTGAAATTGGCGGAGAGTAGACCTTCAGTATCCTCACCATCCATGCGTGGAAGAGTTAACTATGTGAGGTAACTGATAGATGTCTTAATTAGCTTGATTGTGATAGGTAATATTCATTCTTTTCCTCTTCCTCCCCTCTTTCTTTCTACTACGTCATCATATTGTACACCATAAAACGCTGGGATGCTTGCCAATTATACCCCTCTAAAGAGAGAGAGAAACAGCAATATTCCCAGGCAGTTCCTCCAAAGGCACAAGTTTGCACTGGGATTGGCAGTGTGTGAAAGTCATCTCACCACGCCTTTGCGGTGCTGCATCTTTAACAAAGCTTCTAGAGACTTCAAAACCCTTGGGAAATGGACAGGAATATTTCCATAGTAATGAAGAGCAGCTCACCTATCTTCCACTTCCAAATTTCTATTTATTCATTACTACAAAGTCCTGCTCATACCCTACAGCTGTTAACGCAGCCACAAAAAGTTTGGATGACTGCGAATCTTGTATATGCTGGATGTTTTTCCAAAATGCCTGTTTATGTTGTAATTTATTTTCTTAATAAAGATCTTTCCCCTTTGGTGATATCACTTACATTTGTTAAAAACGTAATGTAATTTTTGAAGCTTGTTGGTGAATATTTGGGAATGCCTCTTCTCTAGAACTGGAATTTGGAGGCAAGCTTCAGACAATTATCCAAATAACTGAGGGAGCATTTTGAATGGATGTTATGAATGGATTTGTAAGCTATCTTATGATGCAGATATGATCATTTGCAAAGCAGCCTAAGGCAATTTTGTCTTCAGCTATGAAGGGGTTTCTCTAAAATTCTGATTGAATTTAATCCTTGATACTTCATAATTGTCCATAGAACTTCATTAAAAACAGTAAGCAGCATATGAGGAGAGAAATTATGAGAGATATTATAAACTATGTGTAATTGAATTAGTTTATAGGCATAAGAAACAAATGCAGGATAACATGCTTCATCTTCCCTTTGAAAGACTGAGAAGTGTACCCTGTGGATGGTGATAGACTCATAAGTTGAAGTTTAAGGAAACCTCAAAGATTTTTAACAGTCTTCTTGGTTTGAAAACAAAATCTATCAAAAGTAGATGATATTACCTGCTGCGATCCCATAGTGGAAGAGACAAAAGTTCAGCCAGAGGCCTATGCTCCGCAGTCAGGTGTGGACATTGTGCATCAGTCTGGGTTTCCAGGTGGGTAAATGACTCTCTACCTAGAATGACGAACAGTAAATGGCACCACCTGTTTTTGCTTGTATGAACGTCTCCCATGGGACAGGTTTATTGCAGACACTTTCTCATTTGCTCTCCTAAATCTCCCTGCAGTGTGGAGCAACTGAGGAAGACTCTGAGGGTGTTTATTAAGTGATTTGCCCGAGGTGGCACAGCCAATAGGTCCTAAGTCCGTGAACTTGGAACCAGGTGAAGTTCTCACATTATGGTCCTCAGACTGAGTAGAGACACAGAGCTTCAGGCCCTGCCCCCTTCAGACCTCCTGATCATCGTTTCTCCTCCAAGAAGACCCCTCCCGGTCCTAACACACACCCTCCATTCAGAGCAGCACTGGGAAAGCCTAGAGCCTGCTTCCCTCACTGCTCAAATCCCTGTAAAGGTCAGGGGACCTATTTAAAATAGCTGTGTAGATGCCACACAATCAAGAATGGACATAGGTCGGGTGGTGGTGGCCCATGCCTTCGATCCCAGCACTGGGGAGGCAAAGACAGGCAGATTTCTGTGAGTTCGAGGCCAGACTGGTCCGCAGAGCAAGTTCCAGGACAGGCTCCAAAACTACAGAGAAGCCCTGTCTTGAAAAAACAAAACAAACAATATAAACAACAACAACAATAAAAAGAATGGGCATAGCCCATCTACCTTAAGAAAATTAAAAAAAGAAATCACCACTGAGACCTGAGAAAGTCCAGCGTGGTGGCACGCACTTGTAATCCCATGGGCTCCTTGATGTCTGCCTCATTGCAGCTGGCAACATAGAAACAGATCTATGGTGTTTCCTGGATAGCCTGCTTGGCATGATTGACAAGCCTCGGCCTGATGCACGACTATGTCTCAAAAACTAGGGTGGAAGGCAGCTGATAACGAGAGTCCAAGGTGGATTGATCTCTGGCCTCCTTGTGCACAGGTAAAATTCGTATGTATACCTGCGCACTCATGAGCACCCACAGACACACACATTGCATACAGACTCAGAGAGAACAAACCTTTCATCCACAGAAGCATAGAGATTAGGATACTAATGAGATCCCACAAACACATAAAGCAGGAGACTGTCCATTACTATGCATTTATCTCGGTTTCTGTCCTCCTAAGGAGCAGGAGAGGAACATGCATACATGTCGGAAAAAAATATTTTAAGACCAGCGTTTTAATTCTGAAGAAAATTATGACCAATATATACTGAGATGACGTTCTCATTAGGTAGTAAAAACTAATTAAGTCTTAAAAGCTGACCTAATTGAGGGATAGCAGCGCCCACATGTGTCCCCACTTACTTTTCTGGCCGTAATTCCTCAAAAGGGCATGACAGTCTTGAATCCATAAGCAGCACGTAGAGCCTGTAAAATACAGCAAAAAAATAAAAATAAAATAAAAAATAAAAAAACCTTATTTACCACAGCCTTCTAAGAAAAAGCAACTTGACGGGGGGGGGGGGGGGGGATTAAGCAGTACAATTAACGTTACAAAGTCACATTAGCACATAAATAATTTCCGTGGCAGGTCGTGGGATTTGCATGCATATTTTATCACTCTGTAAGAAATGATTTTTCTCCCTGACCCTGATCCTTCTGTGTACTTTGAAGTCTGCAAATCAGCAGTATAGCCTATAAGTTTAAAGAAATTTAGAAAGAATTGTGGAGTTAAAAGGTACTTTTGATGTCTCTACTGTTTCTCCTATCACAAGGACATCCGATACAACTGAAGGAAAGTAGAAAATGTTAATGCCCAAGAAATCTCCACAGCAGGCATATTCAGTTAACCCTTTGTGACCACTGCCTTTCTCAGAGGCCAAAGGTTAACACACTTTCTAAGTGGCCCAATGAATTCCCAGATTCTGTGACCCTCCTTCACTTTGTAATGACCCTCATTATTGTCACTGATGCTGGCACACTCAGTCCCTAAGAAGTCACATTTCTCTCCCTGTCTTGTCTCCCATACTGGACATCTTTCCAGTCTGAGCCTCCTGTAACCCAGTTCCGACCACAGTTCTCCCCACAAACGTCCTCAGCTTCTCCCTCTCCACTGTGTTTGTGTGGAGGCTGGCTGACAGCGCAGGTTCCAGAGCTGGACTAACTGGGCTCCAGTTTCAGAATGACCCTCCCTGGCTGTGTGGCTCTGAGCAAACATTTGACCTGTCTGTGCTTCATTCGCTCCTCTGTAAAATGACAGAAGTGTCCTAAGGAACTCTTCTCAGACTAACACAGTGTGCTGAGTTTGCAGTGATGGGACAAATGTTACCCCATGTCAGCAGGTGTTCTGATAACTGCTGTTTCTCCTGTTGGACCAGTCTACCCTCACTCAGAAGCCAACTTCCTCCCCTCATCCAAAGTCCAAATCAAGATCAAATGAACACATCTCAGCTGCTCCTAAGAAATGTTGGCTTTTAGCACAATGAAAATTCTTTGTTTTCTTACACAGATGATCAGTGTGCTGAGAAAGAAATCAGAGAAACATCACCCTTCACAATAGCTATAAATAACAAAAAATATCTTGGAATAACTCTACCCAAACAAGTGGAAGACCTGTATGACAAGAACTTTAAATCTTTGAAGAAAAAAATGAAGAAGGCACCAGAAAATGGAAAGATCTTTCATGCTCTTGGGTAGGTAGAATTAACATAGTAAAAATGGCCATCTTACCAAAAGCAATCTACAGACTCAATGCAATGCCCACCAAAGTACCAGCAAAATTCTTCACACATTTCAAAAGAACAATACTCAGTTTCATATGGAAAAGCAAAAAACCCAAGATAGTCAAAACAATCCTGTACAATAAAGAAACTTCTGGAGGCATCACAATCCCTTACTTCAAAATCTGCTACAGAGCTACAGTGCTGAAAACAGTCTGGTATTGGCATAAAAACAGACAGGAGGACCAATGGAACAAAATCGAAGACCCAGATATCAATCCACACACTGACAAAGACCTGATTTTTGACAAAGAAGCAAAATATATAAAATGGAAAAAAGGAAGCATATTCAACAAATGGTGCTGGCATAACTGGATATCAATATGTAGAAAAATGAAAATAGATTTATATCTATCACCATGCATAAAACTCAAGTCCAAATGGATTAAAGACCTCAATATAAAACCACCAACACTGAACCTCATAGAAGTGAATGAATTGGCACAGGAGACCATTTCCTAAATATAATCCTAGTAGCACAGACACTAAGAGAAACAATTAATAAATGGGACCTCTTGAAACTGAAAAAACTTTGCTTTTGTAAAGCAAAGGACACAGTCAACAAGACAAACAGGGCAGCCTACAAAATGGGAAAAGACCTTAACCAACCCCACTCAGACAGAGGTCTGATCTTCAAAATATACAAAGAGCTCAAGAAATTGGTCATCAAAAGAACAAATAACCCAATAAAAAATCGAGTACAGATCTAAACAGAGAACTCTCAACAGAGAGATCTAAAATGGCTGAAAGACTGTTATGGAAATGCTCAACATCCTTAGTCATCAGCGAAATGCAAATCAAAACAACTCTGAGATTCCATCTTACACCTGTAAGAATGGCCAAGATCAAAAACACTGATGACAGCTTATTCTGGAGAGGTTGTGGGGTAAAGGGAACACTTCTGCATTGCTGGTGGGAGTGCAAGCTGGCACAGCTGCTTTGGAAATCAGTATGGTGATACTCACAAAATTAGGAAACAACCTTTCTCAAGACCCAGCAATACTACTTTTGGGTATATACAAAGGATGTTCAGTTGTGCCACAAGGACATGTATTCAACTATGTTCATAGCAGCATCGTTTGTCATAGCCAGAATCTGAAAACAACCTACATGCCCCTTGACCAAAGAATGGACAAAGAAGATGTGGTACATTTACACAATGAAGTACTACACAACAGAAAAAAAAATCTTGAAATTTGCAGGCAAACCAATAAGGAAAAAAGAGTATAAGACAGAAGGCTCTAGAATTTTTCTACCCAACATTCATGACTCTCAGGTGTTGCCATCTCTTTCAGATACCTAAATATCAGAAGACAGAGCCTGAAAATATACCCAACAGCTTCCAAATAGTTCTCAAGTCAAAGTACCCTAAACAAACATGGTCCTGCCAGACATGGCCAAGAAATACTCAAATAACATAAGAAGGGTGTGTGGTTTAAGATTAGCAGATGATCTGTGCATTGAAAGGAAAAGTGGTATACTTCTGGAAAAAGCTGCCGTGAAAAGTGTAGAACAAAAGTAGACATTTTCCAAATACTTGAAATGGAACCTGGAGGATCTGCCCCGGACATGATCTAGCTCTGTCGCCACTCACTGTATGGCCTCTGGAGTTTTACCTAAACTTCATGATCCTCTGAAATTTACAAGGACTTCATAAAACAATGTTTATAGTACGCCAAACACACTTAATGCTAACCTCAATCAAAACTTCAATATAAAATAATGATTCTACTTTTTTAGGTTGTATTAGCATAAATTAATTATACAAAAGAATGGGTCCCATTATGAGATCTTCATACATTTATATATAATGCACTTGGTCATATGAACCCCTCTGTTGACCACTTTTGTCCTTTCCTCCACTCCCCCACCTTTGCTGGTCCTCTTCTTCCCAAATAGTCTCCCCTTAAAGAAAAAGTCTGCCTTCGTAATATGAGCAAGAACAGGTAGGTATTTGTCATAACAGAAATTTGAAAATTCTGCACAAATCAAAGCTTACAAAACTAAACCTGACTTCAGCACAGGCTACTTCCTCAACTTGGTAAGTGTCATATCTTCAATTTGCTGTTGGTAAGAGGATCATTCTACACTACTGTGTGAGAAGATGAAGATTTGACAAGTTGATGATTGGACAGAGAGAGAATTCAGATTCGGGAAAATTAAATAAAAATATTCTATTTTACATAAAAAATAAAAGGTATTTATCCTTGACTAATTCTAGCACTTTTAAGTAAGGTCTTATTACTTGCATGCATGTGTGTGTGTGTGTGTGTGTGTGTGTGTGTGTGTGTTGTGTGTTGTGTGTGTGCTGTTTATCATACAAAATAATGAGTTTCAATATGAGATATTCACAGATCCTTAACCCTGTTACTCTCCTCTCTTCCTATCCTGTCCCCTCAAAAGTCACACACACACACACACACACACACACACACACACGGTATGTTTGTCTACGTTTGGATTATTTTGTTTAATATTATGATCCCAGTTGCATTCATTGTACTGAAAAATCAAGTGATTTGAATTTTATTTAGAGCTGAATAAAACTCCATTGTGTGTCACATTTTCTTTATGGATTCATTTGTTTACAGGAGCCTAAGTCTACTCTATAACTACTACTATTAGTGCTGTAGCTGCCATAGATTTTCAATTCTCTCTGATATGCTGACACAAAGTCCTCCAGGTATGTACCGAAGAGTTGTATAGCTGGGTGCTTGGTAATCCCATATGGGTTCCCATAGTGACTAGACTATTTACACCCCCTTATATACTTATACAGAGAGTCCTTTTCCATACAGCTTCTCAAGTAGTTGTTGATGGTAACCATTATTCTTGAAAATCAAGTGATTACGAGTCATAAAATACCATCCTCGCCAAGAAAGATTTCTTGCTTTTGTTATTCAGACCAATTATTTATTAGGACATTAGGACTGATCAAACATTTAATCATATGAATTAATCAAATATAAAATGTTTCTGAAATATAATATATAATTCAAAATAGAGCTTGATCCACGAGGGGCAAGTGAGTTTAATCTTATGGAAAATTTAACTTAAAAAATTTTAAATTAAATCCAGGTGTGATGGCACATACCTTTAATCGCAACACTTAGGAAGAAGAGTCAGGCAAACCTCTGAGTTTGAGGCCAGCCTGGTCTACAGAGTGAGTTCCAGGACAGCCAGGGCTACACAGAGAAAACCTGTCTATAAATCGCCCCCAAAAATGAAAAAAATAAATAAATTGAGTTATCTGTAAAATTGCTTTCTGACTAATGTCCACCAATGCGTATTATAAATAGTAGACAGTGAAAGAAATTATATGTTGCATTTTGTCTAAGATCATTAAAGTAGCAATCATTAAAGTAAAAAAACTGAGCGCTGGTGATTCTATGCGTCTTTGCCCAGCTCATATCTCCCACAAAACAACTACCTGTTCTCTTCTGCTGGCCACCCTGTCTTCCTTTTATGCTTCTGAGTGATGGAATTTCCCATAGTCCCCAGCTTTTTATCTACTGCTTCCATCCTTGTAACTTTACCCCTTTCATGGCCTTATAAGTCTGTATACTTTCACACATCACAAGCTAGCATATGGCACTTTAGTTTTGAGGATGGAAAATGTACAAAATGAGATATTTCCCTGTTTTACTAGGCT